GAATAGATTATTGTATTCTTTCTTTTTCACTATTGGCATAATGAGTAGAACATGATCTTTTACACACTCTGTTGCCATCTGTTCTATGGCATTAAGATCAACTGCCCCCCCCTTTTCCTATTCAGGGTCCTCTTTAAGACTTCTCTTTGGCAACCAGGTCATACCATCTGATGACAACGACTCCATGCCTGTGGGTGGACATCTGGAGTGGTTGGCTGAAATAGGTTTCTGCTTCCTTCTGGTTCTGGTACAGACAAGCTGCTCATTGGTGATTTATCTGAGTTTATTAGTTGGGTTGAAACTGTTTTAATCCCAGTGTAAAAGATCATCCTTCTAAAGCACTTGTTTTCAAAGGCCTCCCATTTCTTTTTTTGGACTTGACTATTCTCATTCTTGCATCTGTAGCTAATATTCATGTTGAAGATTCTAAGTTTGTTCTTAGTGCTACTTGTTTTTAAATTCCACAATTTTCATGTTTTATAGACATTCTATAAATAAATTTTTGAATGTCGTAATAGGCAGAATGGTGTAAATGGAAAGCACATGGACCACAGAGTCAGGAAAAGTACATTCAAATTTTGCTTCTGCAAATTATTAGCTGTGTAAATTTAAGCTAATCTCTTCAACTTGCTGAGCTGAAGTTTCAATTTTTGTGTCCTACAATATAGGACTATTGTAAAGATGAAATGCAATAATGGAGAAAAGATGTTTTATACCCATTTACTCTACTTGGAGCTTTCTAATGGACTGCCACAAGTTCTGGCTTTGGCCTTTTGTTTTATTTAACATTATAAAGGTGGAATGGAAGTAGGCATAGATAGTGTGCTTATCAAATTTTCACATAGCACAGAGTCCCTTTATTGAATGATGCTCCTTGAAAGTAGAGATTGTTTCACTTTTTGTATCTATATCAGTAGTACCCAGGACAGTGCTTAGTATGGAATGGGCACTTGCTGATCATTTCCAACATATTCCACTCACATTCTAGTCATCATCATCTTACTCTCACTGGAACTTGGACTCTGCCCCTGGGACTCTGATCCCTGAGAAGTGAGATTTGCATTTCCCTGCCCAGAATTAATCAAACGTACCCTTGTCCTTCAAACTCTCCTTTATGTGCTATCTTTTCCACAAAATGTTATCTTCTTGAGGGCAGCAAATTCAATCCTTCCTTTTCTTTGTTTCTCCATCACTTAGCTTAATGCTTGGCACACAGTAAACATACTTTTTCACTCATTCATTTATTCATTCATAAATACTTATTGGTTGTTTATTGGAGGACTTGCTAATACACTAGATGAGAGTATGAAGATAAAAAAAAGATCTTTACAGGATAAAGTAAAGGCCCAAATCTAATATATATATAGAAATTTAATATCAATAAACATAAAGTCCAATTCTGGAATTCACTTGCTTACAAGTACCAGATGATAGAGATATTGATATTTTTTTCCATTTTAATTAATGCCTTTTTTATCATTATCATAATTTACCAATATATTCCCCCCAATCACTGAACCCTCCCTTGCAAAAACAACAACAAAACCCCAAACAATTAAGCAAAATTGACCGGAAATCAAATGCCGTCCATAGGCACAATCAGCCCCCCAAAGTCTAGAGTGTTGGTAGAAACCATATTAAAATGTAACTGGAAAAAATGTAATTGGGAAATGTTGAACAAAATAGATAAAAATACAGTACAACATAAATAATGTTAATTTTTAATATTGTAAGTCAATATGCTGCTTGAACCCCCACTGCTGTTTTTTAGCATATGTAAGATTCTATCTGGTTTGGCTAGGTGCCTGACCTAAAGGTTACCCAGACTGTACCTGGGATGTGTTGGTGGGAAAAATGGCATGGTTATTCACACTGGTTGGATGAGTTGGGAGTTACCAATTACAATTCTTCTAGTGAAATTGAAAGGCTGGACAGTGTAGTGCTAAATTGTTCCCAAAGCTCTGTTTTATAGAGGGCAGGAATTTGACTTTCAGATCACCACACTTCGCATGTGCAGCTCTGCTTGATTTGAACTTTACAGAATAAGACGACACTCTCCCTATGACCAATTGCTCTGATATTCAACCTTTCCCAGCTTCCTGCTATGTGTTGTCTTTCCTCACTAGACTGTAAGCTCCATTAAGACAGGGGTTCTCTTTCTTTTTCTTGTTTGTATAGCCAGGGCTTAGTATAGTGCGTGGCACATAGTAAGTGCCTAATAAATGTTTATTGAATTAAATTGAATTGAAATTGAGAATTATCAGGCCTTACCATCTGTCCTACCATTGCATCAAAACCTCTTAAAATGTTCCTTAGATCTGTGTCCTATGACTTGCTGATGCATCCAAAGAACCCCTCGGGCTAACAATAACTCCATCACTCTACTTCTGGAATACCTGACCTGCAGCTGAGCTCTATTATGTGCGTTTTCTTCCCAATTTATAACAGGAGCTTCTTGAACAAAAGACTTCTGGGGCAAAGTCTAACTTACATTTTTTTTTCTGTTTGTATCCCCATTGATTCACATAGTTCTTAGTTCTTTGGCTCAGAATTCTCTTCTTTATCATAGTCTGGAAAGACATTTCCCTCTCTTCTTTTTTATTATTATTGTTTTAAATTTTTATTATTATAATTTATAATAATAATTATAATATATTATTATTATTATTATTATTATTATTTTAATTCAAGCATCCATTTGGAACTTATTGTGGCATATAGTTTAAGGTGATGAGCCAAACCCCGTATTTGCTGAACTGCAATTTAGTTTTCCCAGTTGTCTAAACAATTTTTATGTGTGAAAAATACCTGGTTTTTAGTAGATTTCAAGGTCAATATGAGTCAACAGTGTGACATGGCAGTGAAAAGACTCCATATAATCTTAGACTGAATTGACAGAGATCCCAAATAAGTCACAATATAGTTCCTAGGTACTCAGCCTTGTTTACTTCATACTCAGCATGGTATATCACATTAAGATAAAAAGTTATTGATCAGCTAGAATGTATGCAGAGGAGAGTCACTGGGAAAGTGAAGAAATCTGAAATGTCACCATTCAAGGATCTGTTCAAAGAACTAGGTATGTTTAGCCTGCAGACGAAGCAAGGATTTAATGGACATATGAGTGCTGTATTAATTCTTTAAAAGGGCTGTTATAGAGAAGAACAATTAGCTTTGATTTAACTGGCCCCACAAGCCAATGGTGCACTATAAAGAGTGCTGGATTTGGAGTCAAGAGAGCCAAACCCCGTATTTGCTGAACTGCAATTTAGTTTTCCCAGTTGTCTAAACAATTTTTATGTGTGAAAAATACCTGGTTTTTAGTAGATTTCAAGGTCAATATGAGTCAACAGTGTGACATGGCAGTGAAAAGACTCCATATAATCTAAAGCCAAGAGAGCTCTTGGCTTTAGTCTTTCCTCTGTTGCCTACTATCTGTTTGACCATAGGAAAGTTATATAGTGTTTTGGAGCTTCATTATCCTCATATATAAAATGGGATGATAACACCTAATCTATCCACATCACAGGATTCCTGTAAGAATCAAAAGAGATTTTGTATGTAATATTAAAATATTAATATTATATCATAATTATATAATATATAATCAATATTGACATATATAATATTAATGTAATATATTTTACATACATACACATACATATATCACTTAACTCCCTTTAAAATGCAACATATTTTCTATAGCGTAGGTAGCTTATTGTCAATAACATGAGATTTGAATGAGTTCTAAAGTATCATCTGGCTCTCAATCGTATCATTGCCAGTTTCAAAGGCAGAGGTTTTTTATTTTTATTTATTTAAGCATTTCTATAACATAGTGTAATAAAAGAAAATTACACATAAAACTACAAATCTATTATGTACAACTTGCTATTCCTTTTAAATATATAATAAAGCTACCATATAAACTTTTTTTCCTATTTTTTCTTCCCTCCACCTGCCCCTATCCTAGAGATGGCTACCATTAGGCACACACGTGTGTGTGTGTGTGTGTGTGTGTGTGTGTGTGTGTGTGTGTGTGTGTGTAAAATCTTTCTATACATACTTCAATTCATCAGTTCTTTCTCTGGATGCACATAATGGCTTCCTTCATATATACCTTTCTTCAAAGAGAGAGGCTTTTTGATTGATAAAAGAAAACATTTTCTCAGAGTGATAGTTGACCAAAAGCTCAGTGAAATGCCTACTATAGGAGATCTTCATTTCAGGGCTTTTGCAAAGAAAATTCCTTCTTAATTGTGGATTAAACCAGATGACCTCTGAGGTTCCTTTGAACTCTGATATTCTATGATTTTATACTTCATAATCACTAAGTGCTGTGTAAATAGAAGCTATTATTGAGTCATAAGGGTAGAAAGAGCACAGGACTAGAATTTAAGGGACTTGGATTTTTATTTTGCATCTCTAAGCAACTAGGTGTGTGACCTTGGGCAAAGTATTTAATTTGATTCTTTATATGTAAAACGAAGTGTTTGGAATAAATTATTTATGAGTTAACTTCTATCCATAAAATCCTATAATTCTATGAGTGTAGTGTTCCCTTTAGACCATGTATTATTTTCCCTATTATATTGCATATTGGTCATTATGGTGGAATCTACATTCAAACATGCTTTAATTAACTATAATCCTTGATTTCAGGGTACAAAATCAGAATAGTTGACTCTGTTTTTAAAATGATCATCCACTGAGCTCTTTGGAATTTGGCTTTATCTTCCCTTACTTTACTGAAACTGTTTCCTCAAAACTCAACAATGACTACCTAATCATCAAATTCAATTGGCCTTTTTTTTTCATGTCTCATCATCCTTTAAATCTAAGCAGCATTGGGTGCTAGTTATGACCCCCTACTTCTGGATTCTTTCTCTTCCCTTGACTTCTGAGAAGCTCCCTTCTCCTACTTGTCTTCCTGTTTTTTAAAAATTTTTTCCTTCATTGTCTATAGTCCACTTTGCTGGCAACTTGCCCTTATCAAGTACCTTAAGGTGGGTGTCTTCCAAGGTTCTGTCTTAGGTCCCATTCTCTTCTCTCGTCATATTCTCTTACACCTGTCAACTTGGCAATATCATTTACTCCCATGGATTTTACTAGAACTGGACCTAAAAAGTAAGGAAAGAAAAGGGATAAGCATTTATATAGCACTTTGTATAGTAGATAGTATAGTAAGCACTTTTACAAATATTACCTTACTTGGGCCTCACAACAACCCTAGGAAGTAGGTGCTGGTATTATCTTCATTTCATAGTTGAAGAAACTGAGGCAAAGAACAGTTAAATGACATGGTCAGGGTTACATAAGTAGTAAGGGCTTGAGGCAAATTTGACTTCAGGTTTTCCTGACTGCAAACTCAGTACTCTATCCACTGCGCTAGCCACTGCCTCTAGAGTAATGAATAATGGAATAATGTCAACCTATAGGCAGGTGTCTAATGGAGAATCCTGAGGTCTGTTATTGGTCCCCTTCTATTCAACATTTCATAATGTCTTGGATGAAGGAATACGTGATATACTTGCCAAACCTTAGATAAATCAAAGTGGCAAGGACTATCTAACATGCCTAGATTAAAAAAAAAATCTTAACAGGGTAATAACCATTGTTCAAATCTACAAATTTATAGGTATAAATCTGAAATTTAATAAGAATAAATTTAAAATCACACATTTGGGCTAAAATATACAGCACATAGGTACTGGGTTTAGGAGGTATGGCTAGTCAATGTGAAAAAAAAAGATCTTTTTTTGTAAATTTTAAACTCAATATGAGTCAATAGTATGACATGATAGCCCAATTTGGTTTTAGGCTGCATTGCTGGAATCTTAGCACCCAGAATAAGGGCAGTGATTGTCCTCCTCTGCCATGCTCTGATCAGACAGTATCTAGTGCATTTTGTTCAGATCCAGGGTCATGGATTTAAGAAGAAAATTGACCATCATTGTGTGTCCCGTAAAGCCTACCACAGCTAGGAAGATGAAGAAACTAGAACTGATGTCATAGAAGTTGAATTAATTGCTGATACTTAACCAGGAAGGAGAATATTTAAGGAGACTATAGATGTCTACAATTATCCGAAGGGCTGTCATGCAGAAAGGGGATTGGATTTGTTTTGCTTGGCTCCTGAAGGGCATAGAGCAGAGTCAGATTTCAGCTCAATATAACTAATAACTTTCTGGTTATTGAAACTGTTCAAAATTTGGAAGGGTAACATGGGCTGAAGTGGGATCTCCACCACCACAAGTCTTCACTGGGAACCTGAATGAAAATTTGTTAATAGATTGGATTCTTGCTCAGATATGTACCATCATGCCCTTCTTTTGGTACATTCTCCCCTTCCAGCTTCCTTTTATGCATTATCTTCTCCCATTAGATCACAAGCTTCTTGAGGGTAGGGACTATCTTTTTAAATTTTTGTATCTCCAGTGCTTGGCATTGTGCCTGGCACATAAATGTTTATGATTAACAGTGTCTCCCTGAGGTCTTTTCTATAAGCAACATTTTTTTTCTTCTTTAAATCAAAGCAGACCAGCAATGGGGGTAAGCTGTTTAAGTTATATATAGATCAAAGATTTCTTCTGTCTTTTCAGATGAGGTACTAGTTTAGGTGGAGTGTATGGGATATTGAAGGAAGACTACCATCTCTGGTGTGAGTGCTTGTTGAGCCCTTTTCAGGGCTGTCCATCCATTTTTGGTGTCTATCGGGCACTCAGTTTTTATCTATGATTCCAAGAAGCACTAGCAGGCACAATAGCCACATCCTAGTAAATCCTCTCAGCAGACAGGCTAAACCAGGTTGAAGGTAACTCCCAGCATGTAAAGACTTCTCCCCTATGGAATGTATGGATGAGAATAATTTGTTCCAGCGGCCATGAAGGTGGCTGAGCTTGATCAGACATTGAAGACTCCAAGGTCATCCACTGCATTCCAGGCTATGGCTAGTCATTCTGACTTTTGTCTTGCCACTGGACTTCAATGACTCTGGAAGAGGGAGTGAGGCAGACAACTCTCCCTCAGTTAACTTTAATTCACATGAAGACATCACCCCATGTTGTCATCAGTCTTGTTGAGAATGAAGGACAAACAACTAGATAAGCACTAGGTAGAGAATATGAGTTTAGGATCAGTTTTCTGGTAGGAGCTAAGTGAGGCCAGATGTTAGATGCTAGAAGACTGTGGAGGTAGTGGATAGAGTGCTGGATGCTGGACTTGAAGTCAGGAAGACCCGAGATTGAATCTTGCCTTACATACTAGTTGTGAGAACCTGAGGAAATTACTAACTCTTTAACAAGTCACTTAACCTTTCTCAGCCTCAGTTTCCTCATCTGTAAAATAGATAATAATAGTACTTATATAATGAGGTTGTAATGAAAATCAAATTGATTAACATCTCTAAAATGCCTTGGAAATTTTGAATGAAACCCCTGTTTGGGCTTCAATTTTGTAATCTTTCAAATGAGGGGGTAAGACTAGATCTCTATGGTTTCTCACTCTAAACACTATAATACTATCTGTTCACACTGAATTTTAGGGAAAAAATACAACTATTGTCCTGGGTAGAGAACCACTTGTTCCATAATTTTTGCTAGACATTCTTCTGGTAGAAGCCAGGGTCCTATAAATGAGAAGATAATTTTATTTGATATATGTCCAGAAACTCTTTGAGGTATGTGGCTTAAAAATTGTATTCAATACATCTGAATATATCTGGAATAAAATTGGAAATACTTAACTGAGAGGAGTGTGTGAGTCCATGCTGGAAAGTGATCAATTTTTCTGTGCTGATCAGCTACAGGCAAAGCTGATCTTGCACACATGGTACAGCTATTTTACTGTTGACATGGTAAGTTAACACTACTACAAAGTCACCATGCCTCGCACCCATTATCTTCTATAGCACTCCAACTAAACCAGTCACTTGATTTAGACTTAGAATATAAATCTGGTTCAGCTTCAGCCACCTTCATATGTTTGCTTTCTTTATGTAGATGTTCAGTCTTCTGGAGAGATAGCATTTTCTTCCTGCCTATAAACTTTTATTTTTTCAAATTAAATAAGTCATCTCTGTGTAAATGGAAATTTTTTATGGCAAATTCCTTATAGGCCTATGGATTACTCTCCCATCCTCATCCTGGTAATCCAATAAAAAGCCAATGATAGCCAATTTTACCCCTTAAAGATTGTTTCTATCTTGTTCAATCAATAACATTTTCTGTACCTCTTCTGAGTACTTTTTCAGGATTTTTCATATCTGAAAAATGAGAATTAAACATTTGTAGAGCATAGTTTCATTCCTTCATCTATAAAGAGGAGAAAAATAACATTTCATCTTCCATTTTTGTTTGTATTTTTCCAGTTCCACTATGTAATGAACAGGAAGTTCCAACATCCATTGTGGGAATGAATGGTCAAAGGAAAAGCAGACGATTCTTTTATTTTTATGCCAATGGAGATTTTATGTGTGTATGTACTTATGTATGTATATGTATGCATTCAATCCTAATCCCTTTTTACTAGACCCAACCAAGGGAAAAAAGAGCAAAGCCCTCACTCAGATATTTCTAAGACCTATGTATGCAAATGATTTGGCAATAATGCTTTAGATTGCTTGGGAGCAGGATAATGATTCAAAATATAGTAAAACAGTGATTAATTAACTGATTTTTACTATAACTCAGAGACTCAGAGACAAAAATTCTAAAAAATTTTCTCAAGACAAATTCCTATTAATCTTATTAGTTGTGTCACCACCAGCAAGTTGTGTGACCTCTCAGCCCAAGTTTTTTCATTTGTAAAATGAACACCAAGTGTACCAGCCCTTTTATAAGATAGTTATGAAGATTGTTTTGTCAACCTAGTATAAATACAAAGCCTATATAAATTCAAGTTATTATGATCTCATTATCATCTTTTTGATGGCTGTTCACATAGAAACAGATGGAGGACAAGTGACATTCTGCTATTATTACTGTATTAATTTTTTTGCCTCATAATTATATTTTCAAATGTGGTTCAAAAGGAAACAGTCCTAGGGCATGTTGCTATTTTACTATAATTCCTTTCAAGTTAATGTTCTACAGTCTATGGAACATGCAAATAAAATATCTCCTTTTTGTAGTTCAATTAAAGAATTAGGAGGTCAGCTCATCCACTGTAGGCTGACTGAAAGCATCAATGGCATAACTAATTGCACTAGTAGAAAGGACAACAGGGATATATCATATTCTATTCCCATTTGATTTTGATTCTTCTTGTCCATAGCTCTATACTTTGAAAATTTTTCATTTCATGTAGGTTGGAGATTTTGAGTAATGAGTTTTAGGATGGTAACATCTATTAAAATTACAATTCTTTATTAAATTTATGGAAAACAGAAGAATTCATGACCAAGCAGGAGATAGAGAACATTATGAAATGCAAAATGGATAACTTTGATTACATTAAATTGAAAATTTTTTGCATGAAGCCAATACATCCAATATTAGAAGGAAAGTAGAAAATTAGGAAAGAATTTTTACAACCAGTCTCTCTGATAAGGGCCTCATATCTAAAATATATAGAGAATTAAGTCAAATTTATTAGAATACAAGTCATTCCTCAATTGATAAATGGTCAAAGGACATGAAGAAATATTTCTTAAAGAAATTAAAGCCATCTATAGTCATTTGAAAAAAAATACTCTAAATCACTATTGATTAGAGAACTGCAAATCAAAACAACTCTGAAGTACCACATCACACCTATCAGATTGGTCAAGATGAGAAAACAGGAAAATGATAAAAGTTGGAGAAGATGTGGGAAAATTGGAACACTAATGCATTGTTGGTAGTTGTGAAATGATCCAACCATTTTGGAGAGCAATTTGTAACTATGCTCAAAGGGCTATAAAAATGTGCATACCCTTTGACCAAGCAATAGCACTTCTAGGGCTGTATCCCAAAGAGATCATACAAATGGGAAGAGGACCCGCATGTACAAAAATATTTATAGCAGCTCTTTTAGTGGTGGCAAAGAATTGGAAATTGAGAGAATGCCATAAATTGGGGAATGGCTGAACAAGTTGTGGTATATGAATGTAATGGAATACTATTTTGGTGTGAGAAATGAT